TTAATTTGAAAGTCGCGAAAAAAAAATGAATTCGCCACGGAGGTATAAACATTTTTTGAAACATATATTGTTCTGTATGTCTTGATTTTATTTTTTTTATAACCATTATCCATAAAAATTAAGAGTAAACATTCCACATTATAGAGGTCAGTAAATAAATCTGTATTTACAATTTTATATTTTAAACTGAAAATATTCAAAACATACACCGATATAACAAATAATATATGATCAAATATCATAATATTATTCGTTGATATAAGCGTAAAAACTCAATGATAAACCGGAGTTGAAATAAATTACCATGAGGATTAACAGTTGGTTTATTTTTCAAAATTGACGCAGCTTGTTTATTTTTCCATTTAACTTGTTAAAAATGAGTTTGGAATTTGATTTATTTAAATTAGATTTATGGTTTTCCCGCATTGTCAGACAAATAAATGAAATTAACTTTCATACGTAGTAATTCGTAAATTATAAATTATAACGTAATAATTCTTTAGACATTCTAATAAATAATACAACACTGGAAATAGTAAAAGAAAATATATATTTGGGACAACTAATACACAGCTCGGGATCTCTACTACCAGAAATCCACAGAATTAAGTTAGCATGGAATACTTATGAAAGAAACTCAATCATATTCAAATCTAAAATGCTACTCTATCTAAAGAAGAAAACATTCGACCAATGTGTACTACCAGTCATAACCTATGCATGCGAAACCTGGACACTTAAAACGGATATTGTAACAGATTATTTCCTTTATATTATTATTTATATGATTAACAGATAATTTCCTATGTCCTTTACGTTCAAGTCGATGTTTTCGGTTATTAGTTTCGGGAGAGGGTCTTTTAACAGAAAGTAATAAAACAAACATCTTTCAAACGTGACTATTTTTAAATTCCCAAACTTATAGAAGGGCAAAGCAAATAAACTGTAGAACTTAGAAGTAAACAGAAAATTGTAAAGATAGACCTTAGAAAAAACGCTGGGACATTGTAAAACCAATAACCACCCTTGATAACATGTAACTATCGCCGGATGTTTGTAAAGGATCTGGGAACTTTAGGAAAGCACGTATCTAGACATAAACGAGAATTGAATACGTAAAATGGTCATAGTACTGCCATCTAACAGCGGGAGGTCGAACCAATTTGGTTTGAAGGGTGGTGTCAAGCTGACCAATCAAGCAAAGAACAGTACCTTTAGGGATGATCCTATTGGCGAAGTACCGAATGCACCACCCTTCAACCCTGTAATGTTGCAACCTCGGGGCTGTTTTTAGGCAGAAAAGTTAGTTCGGTTTAAGTTTCTAAAAGAGACGGTTCTCCCTCGGGTTCGCGAAGCTCGGTAAGGTTCACGATGTGACCCCCTGTAGTTTTTAAGTCTGGTGTCTACTAATAGTATTTTTTTATGTCCTTTTGTCAAATGTTTTTAATCTTCTTCTCTAAAATTATTTTAATGTGTTGTAGTAAGATTTAGTAATGAAGGTTCAATTGATTATGTAATTATCAGATTTTTCAACAAAGCAGACACCAGACAATTTTCTTGTATTTTTCCATCTCTTTTCCATTTTTAGTAATAACAAGTAATTTCGATCATATATATATTTTTTATTTGTTCTTTATTTTCTTTTTAATATTAAATTTAAATGTTTTCTAAAAACTCGGCAGTTTTATTTCTATAGTAAAAAAAATAAGAGTGTTTTAAAATTATATAAATAAGATCCTTATGAACGGGCAGAATATCTCCAGAGCAGTCCCGAAAATTCTCGAGAAATGAGCTACATATTTACAGATAGAGGTCGGGCCGCAATTAAGGTAAGTTATAATAGATTTGAGAGACTAACAGCACTAAGACAAAGCATTAAACATACGCTCCAAAGAGTCGGTGTACTTTTTATCCAAGTTTGCCTTCCGCTCAACTTAATTGTTTTTTCATAATTATAAAATAGTCACGCTACCCATATACAAGTGATTAATCCGAAAAGATTTGTCACAATATCATAAGAAAACTACAGGTCGCACAACGCTCAATGGAATGAAATATGCTGGGAATAACCAAGAGAGACTGTAAAAGAATAGAGTGGATACTACAAAAGACCCAGGTAATAGATGTCATCCACAAAGTCAAATCCGTCAAGTGGTAATGGTCAAGACACCTAGCAACAGATGAACCACAAAAATTACAGCATGGTACCCACGAGGAATTAAAAGACCTAGTTAAAAGCATTCCATTTATTACATATCACATCGATGCATCGGTCTCTTGACAAGGTTATGTCGGTATGTGTGAAACCGGACTATCCGCTCCGCTTATCGTAATATTTTCCTCTCCCAACTCGACTATGAATATTGGAAAACTGATAATGTAGTATGCATAGTGAGTGTCTTAAAACTCAGTGTCTCGGATAAAATCAATACTTATTTTTTCTTAAATAGACAATACTACTTCCCCTCAGTGGTTTCATTTATATAAAAAGAAACTTTATTGTAACAATGTGAAAAGATCATGTTACCAAATCGTTTATTCAAACGTTCGCTTTCAAGATTTTTCTTTTTATTTTACAGCCTGCTTTGTTCTATTTCTTATATTATGTTTACCGACCCGTTTTGAACGCTCGGATAACATCAATCATTCGTTGCTTAATATAAAAGTTTCATTTTAGCTGTTCTGTCTAGTCACGATATAAATTCTTCTCGAAAAATTCTAATAAAGGTTCAATAATGTTTTTGATATATTTTTTGTTAAACTAGAAAGGAAATCTTAATTTATTTCTTTAGAAACTCTTTAGCGACAATAAATTACCGAAGTAGCGAAAAAAGAAAAGGTTGCTGTCGCCGTAAATCAACTCAACCTTGGCCTTAAATTACATCCTTTGACTTGGAGCACTCGGAAGAAACATAATACGTTTAAGTTGAGTGGTTTAGTTAGAATAGAGGGTGATCCAGTTTTTTTCTCTAGCAGGACGTTAAATTCTTATTTTTCTTTATTTTTTCGGCATTTTATTCACTTTTCATCATGAGACCAAAAATCTCAGAAGCTTCTTCTTCTTACAGTGCCATACTCTATACAGAGCATTGCGCGTCGGCTACCTCTCGCATGTACCTGTGATGTGTGTCATCAGTGTTTTACAAGTACACGGGACATACAGTTTATCGCCGAATCCGAACGGCACTATTTGAGAGGCTGTTCAAGGCAAATATACTTAAGATGGTTTGCCATTGCCTTCCTTGAGATGGCGGCTTTCTGGTCGCTCTCTTTAGATAAATAAATATTTTTATTTAAATAAATAAAACGACCGTACTGAAGATCGAACCCAGTACCATCCCATCTACACACTACTGCTTGCGCTACGGCCGGCCAAGAAGCTTAAATAAATTTAATTACCAACCAGGGTGCCCGATAGCGTTGAGGTACAGACCTAGACTACCAATGGTGGTGGGTTCGAATCCTGCAACCTGCATTTCATCAGGCGACTATTTATTATCGACTCAGCCTTAATTATGTACTTTCACAATTCTGAAATAATTCTGTTGAAGCGTTAGTGCGTAGCCACACTACCATTCTAAATTTCTGTACCTTGCTTCTCCCAAGGTATGTAAACGATGTATACAGGAGACTATTAATAATTCATCACCATCATTTTCGGTTTATTTAACCATTTCCAATTATGATGTGTGTGTGGCCGGCCATCGCTCCAGCGTTAGTGTGTCGATCTACGGAGCGGAAGGTACTGCGTTCGATCCCCTGCCAGTACGGTCGCTTTATTTATTTATCTAAATAGTAATAATAAACCACCTTGAGTATATTTGCCTTGTACAGCCTCTCGAATAGTGCCGTTCGGATTCGGTAATAAACTGTAGGTCCCGTGTACTTGTGAAACACTGATGACACACATCACAAGTACATGCGAGAGGTAGCCGACGCTCTATATATAGTATGGCACTGTAAGAAGGTAGGGCCACCCCCTGTAGGGGGTGGCCAACTAAGATGGACGCCGGCCGTATCTCAGAAAGTACTTATCGTATAACTTTGGTTAAAAAACTGTAATAAGTAAATCGACTAAGAAAAATCGCTGAAAATGGTTTTCAAATTCAAAAAATGGCCACTAGGAGGGCATCTGTAATGGCCAATCATAAAACAGAATTTTCCTCAAAAAGATGCAGGTGAACAGGTATTTTAAATATTGCTATTATAATCTGTGGAAAATTTGTAATTTTTTATATAGCATATTTTGCTCTATCTCATAAAATAAAGTGGTGGGGGAAGTTTAAATTTGCCCTCGTTTAAAACAACTTTTCTTTCTTAATAATCTACAGTGTAAATTTTGTTTCTATAGATTTTTTCGTGGTAGCTAGAGGGCGCTGTTTGACATCATAAGAGATATTGAACTTTTGCATAAAACATTTAAATAGCAGGTTTTATTTCCTTTTCTACAGTTCAATAGAGCGCAATATTTCCAAAATATCAGAAAAAACCTCAAATTTCTGTCTTCTTTCTAACAGGAGATATTAAGAGAACAAATCATGATAGGCTACCCCTTAGGATATAAAGTATAAAAATGATAATAGTAGGCTAGGAAACAGAAAGAGTTAAATTGGTTAGTTTAAGTCGTATCCGGCGATACTGGAAGTGACAGAAAATAATTGAATACATCAATCAAGCCCGATTTATGTCACAGTGCTAACATACCAAATTTATTTTCATTATCTGAAAAAATAAGAAAGTTATAGAGGTGCCACTTTTAATAAAGACCCTGTATATATATATATATATATATATATATATATATATATATATATATATATATATATATATATATATATATATATATATATATATATATATATATATATATATATATATATATATATATATATATATATATATATATATATATATATATATATATATATATATATATATATATATATATATATATATATATATATATCTCACAGATATTTAATGTATATTATTTTTTTCAGATGATGACGACTGGCTAACAGGTATGTACCATATATAAGTTCGAAACACTCGCACTTTCGAGTACAAAACGTGTATCATATAACTCAATGTTATGGTAACGATATTTTTAATTACAATCTTAGCAGTGATTTTAGCCACTGTAGGTCAGCAGTGCTCGGACACGTGGAAGTGGTTGAGGGAAAAAACTTGCAGCAAGTCGCCCCAATTGTTCAAGCAGCCACAGCAGCAAGAGGAAGACGAGGCGCCTCCGCCAGGACCCATACAGATCAGTAGTTCTATGCCCGACTTGCAGGCAGAAACAAAGCCCTCATACGTGCAGGAAATCAAGGAAATAGTAGCAAAGAAGGTAAGTTTTTAACGTTTATCTTAAAAAAATATTTCATTAAATTTGGATGTAATGTATCAACAGAAATACGTTTTTTTCACACAATTTGATTATTATTATTTTACGATATAATTTAGGTACGAACCTAAAGCTTCGTTCAGAACCTCTCAATTAATGGAATAAATTAGTGGTTTCAATAATTACACTTTATACTTTTTAATTTACGATAATTCACAATATTTAAAAAACGCAATAATTAAAATTAATAGAATATCCTAGCAACAGCTTGAGTTAGCCAGTTGTATCCATAGAGAAAGCTAATATTCAGCTTATAAAACAATCAACTTTTGATTTCTAACCACAATTTCTCTTGGCGGAAGTTAGTCAAAGGATAAAATGACATTTGTCATAAATTTTTAAGTACAATAATTAGCGGAAAAGTTAAAAGTTTGATAACGCTTCATTCAGAACCTCGCATTTAGTGGAATAAATTAGTGGTTTCAATTACACTTTATACTTTTTAGTTTACGATCATTCAAAATGTCTAAAAAACACAATTAAAATTAATAGAATATCTTAGCAACAGCTTGTAGTAGTCAATTGTATCCATAGAGAGAGCCTAATATTTAGCTTATAAAACAATCAGCATTTGATTTTTAACCACAATTTATCTTGATTGATGATAATCAAAGGCCAAAATGACATTCCTCGAAAATTTTGAAGTATAATTAGTGGAAAAGTCAAAAGTTTGTTAACTTTTTCTACTAATTGAAAATGTCTACCACTAATTTTGGCGTTCTGAATGCTTACATTGAAATTAAAAGAACAAACTTCTACGCTAATTGAAACCACCAATTTATTCCACTAATTGCCAGGTTCTGAATGAAGCTTAACTTTTACTACTAATTGAAAATATCTACCACTAATTTTGGTATTCTGAATGCTTACATTGAAACTAAAGGAACAAACTTCTACGCTAATTGAAACTACTAATTTATTCCACTAATTGAGATATTTTGAATGAAGCTTTATTATTTTAAGCTAAGGATACTCTAAACACGTTTGCAAACAATTTCAATCAAACCAGAGATTTTAAATCCCGAAAATTAACCTTCAACCAAAATCATTTCCTATTATGCGTCTTCGTCCTTTATCAGCTATATTGAAATCGATTTGAGCTCGATATAATAGATCTTCATGTCGATGTAAGAAACCACTGCCTTTAGAAAATATATTTAGAGTATCTGAGAATTATGCCATTAGGGTGAGGTTTCCAATCATTTTCTATTTTTTGATATATCGAGCTGTTACACAATACTGGTACATTGTGCACGCTTCCGGGCCAAGTTAGAGTTATACAGAGTTATTCAAGGTATTCGTAGACCGAGTATTGTAGATAAATGATTAGATTTTTGGAAATTGTGAATAGTGGAATCGTCGAAGGACTACAATTTAAAACGATTTTCCAATTTGATAAAAATGGTATCTCAAGTCCCAAATAGTTAATTTTTAAATGAAATACCCTATATATTATTATATTTTTAGTTTCTACAATTAAAGTAAAGGTCGACAACATTTTGAGAGCCACCGTATTTGACACAAAATACATTCAAATGCAATCTAAGTTATTTAGGATTATTTTTTGATAATTTAAAATTAATTACTTTAATGTTTTTTTAATTTTTATTAAAAAAACGATTATTCTATTACCCGGCCGAATAGCTGTGGCCATTAAACCAAAATACTACTATATCTATAGACTAATACTAACTGCTACTAACCTACAATTAATTTTGTGTAGTCTGTGGTCTGTTTTTTTTTAAATGTTTTATTCGTTATTCATATTGGGGATTTATTTTTAAATTAATGTTAACCATTAGGCAACCAGTAAACTCACAGAATATGTATTTCTTTTGCATAATCAAAATTGTCACTCTAAATTTTACATAACCAAGTTGTCACTCTAAATCGCTGTCTTCTTTAGACAGATGTCACTTGTCTTGTCATTATTCGAATTCTCAGAATGTTGTCAAGAAAAGTTTCATCTTGAAAATAGATAAAGGAAATAAATTTAGACTGGAATGCCCGTCAAAATTTTGGGTCGCAAAATTGCTTTGGGTCGCGACCGTTGTACGCGATCTGGCGCTGGTTTAGCGATTGCAATCTCTTGTTAAAGTCAGATTTAGGTCAGAATCTTCAAAAATTATAAAATCTTTCAAAATCTAAACCGCTCTCATTGATAAAATCCTGAAAAATGTTTAAAGCGTCCATTTTCAGAGTAATTATTGCTATTATATCTTATGAGTTTAATTTAAGTTTTATTTACTTACTGAAACCCGTGATAAACTGTGAAAAAGCGACATTAAAAACTTAAAAAGCTGTGCTGTAAACTGTGAACTGCAAAAACCATCGTGGATCGTGGCATAACGTCGGTTTCCAATGTTTCATAGGTATTTCATACATGTCCTTATATAAAATAAAGTTTCTTGTATGCAACACACTATATTTTATTTATAAAAATAAAAGAAAATAATAATAAATTTGAGTAAATAATATTTGGCGATATAATTCCGGAAAAAGCCGAACTGCTCCGAAATTTTCAAAAGCTTTGGGTCGCGACCAAAGACCTAGCTAGAAAAAGAATGGACTGTGCCATACTGAAAAATGGTCCTACAGAAGTGGCGTCATCTATTGAGTAGGGCTTGTTTTAAATGGATCGAAGCGCGGGCTTTTTAAATGAGCGTATTTATTGAATTTTACTCTAAAATAATTCCATTTGATTATTAAATATTATTTTTTTACACAAATTCAACAATACTAATAACAAGTATCGTTGTGATGTGTAAAAAATAACATTTAACAGTATAATTTATACAATTATTAAATAAAATTTAAGCCAAACATGTGTAAATATCATTTATTATTTAAAGTTTTTATTTATAAGTCAAATATTTAAACATCATTTATTATAATAAAACAAGACCAACGTAATACGCCCAAAGTTTTGTAAATGGAGTAAATATAAATAGGTACTTAAATGATGGCAAAAATAAAAGACTTACATTAAATTTTTAGGGCCACAAACAAAAGGAATTGTCTAATTAAAACACATACCCATAACAAATTATAGCTTGAAAAACGTTTTGATAATATTATGATTGGCGCTATGACAACGACAATATTTTTTGAGAATTTGACAATAGTATGACAATGGCCGTTGGAAACTACAAAAAAATTCTGATTTAACGCCATCTGGCAATAACTAGTAGCAACTTGTCAACCTAAAAATTAATTGCACTACCACCAAGCGCCTGAGGCTGGAATTATATTATTTGTAATTTCCGTGGAAAAGGTGGAACCGCTTTTGCTATTTCACTTTCCCGCCCCTGCCTAGGTCGCGACCGTTGAGAGAATAGCGCCAAATAGTGTTTACATTGTCCTTATGGGCACTTTCCAATCTAAACTTGTTTCATTTATCTATGGTCAAACTATACTAACAGTTAAAGTATTTCTGGGAAACCCTGTATTCGTATATGATAGATAATTTCTTATCCAGGTCATTTGGAATTAGTAAAATTATTATAGAAGACTACTAATAATAATTACTTCAAAAAAAGTTAGAGCCTCATTTCGGAGTCTCTGAAATAAGACTCCAACAGTGTCAGACAGATAAAACACCGACGAATTCCACAATCATTAATTTTAAGTCCAGACATATGAGCCGGATTCTTGTCATTAGGGGATATCGAACGTTTTTTTTTGTTCCTTTATTCCAAACAAAAAATCTCTGCTTTCGTTATTTTTTTCATTTTCCTTTCGGAAGTAATTCGTAGTCCAGTTGTAACTGATTTTATTTTATTCGCATAACGGAAAAATATTCTCAGCATGTGCTTTTATAAAAAGTACTATGGGGACGTTGTTCAGTAAATCCGCATTGTGTTGTGGAACAAATAACTCATTCAAATTTAAGGTGCATTGGTCTGTATATGTTGTGTATTTTTCTGCTTTATTTTTTGTTCTTTTTCAGGATATTATTATCATTCTCTATTGGTTTTGGTTTAGTATTTTCAAAACATATTATACAAAGTATTTCCTATATATAAAGAAGGTCATATATTTAATAAAAATTGATTTGTTATGAATTGTGTATCTACGTAAATTTGTTAAGCGAAACCAATTAAACTTTTAGTTACATAATCGAGGGGTGGCGATTTGTAAATTCATTGTTGACAACATGGACATATTCGGCGTTAGACTGACTACCTGTAATTTAAATTTCCCTCTGGGGATTCAGGTGGTAGCTCTGTTACGAGTTATGAGTTTTTGGTTTAAATGAATTGTGCTGTGATACTTTAAGCTTAAAAATGTTAACTAGCAGACCTTGCACATAACATTGTTCTTTTTAGAGCCTCTTTTAGTGCGACGTGTACAAGATAGCTTAATAGCCGTTGCAAAAAACTCATCGCAATTTTATAAGAATATTTTGAACGCGAAAAAGGTAGTAATGGCCTTTTTGTCCCTTAAGTGCTGTTAAGGAGATCAGTTTTGTTGATGTAAACAATAACTGTTTATATGTTTATACTTAATTTATTTTTGTTTTCTAAAATATTTTGATTAGAAGAAAATATGTAAAAGTGGGCAACGCTGTGCCGTTCAAGCTTAATCACGTGACTAAAAGTTTAATTGGTAGGAACTATACTTGATACAAAGCGATCTCCAATGATTGAAATTGTTTCTAAAACATATACTAAGGATCGATGATAATTTGACAGAAAATTTAGTCAAAAATTAAACTCTAATCTTAAAAAAGTATATAGTGTATCAGCTACTGGTAAGCAAAACTATTTTTTTAATTTACAACTGAAGCCTGTCACTGTTACAACAAAAACAATAAAAGTTCATATGTATTTAAAAATGCTTAACTTTCTCTAAAAAGCAGGTAAGACGCAAACTGGTAGTAGAAAACGAAATTATTGAGCAAGCATCACAGTTCAGATACCTAGGAATAGATATGTTGTACTACCATGATCCAGAGAAAGAACTGAGAAGCCAGATAAATAGAGCAATGTCTGAGGCAAATAGTGTGGACAAACCCCTTCATGTGAACAGACAGCAAATCTAAAATTTATAAAAGACCTGCATCCGACCAATAATAACATATGGCATAGAAATGTGAGAGGAAACAAACAATACCAAAAGCATGTTAAGAGTCGCTGAAATGAAGAACCTAAAAACCATAATGGGGAAAACTAGAAGAGACAGAATTAGAACCAAAAATATCAGACAACAATGTGGAATACAGAACGCAGTGGGATGGGGTAAGCAAAGAAAAAGACAATGGTTCGCACACGTAAAACGCATGCCAAGAAACAGGCTACCACGAATAGCTCTTGAAGGGAAATCCATGGGTAAGAGACAGCCGGGAAGACCTCCAAAAAGACGGAAAGACAGCTGGCAGTCCTTCTCCTAAGAACTCCTATAGAGGCAACCTTAAAACTAAGAGATCGACTAGATCTCAAATAAGTAAAAGAAGAAGATGTATTTAAAAATGTTAATAAAATAACAAGGTATAAATCTCTCGAAAGTATGATGAGTTATCCATTTAAACATTGAATAAACTATGAAAATACTAGGATATCAAAAAAACTTGCAAAAGTACAGGAATATAAATAATTTAAGATTATATTTCACTCGGGCATAGATGGAAATCCGATAATTCTCGCTATAAATTTATTTTCGTAATCTCTACAAAGCGAATATATTCGGTAACGGTTAAGTTCAACGTTTTGCCTCAAAAGGGCATCTTCTTCATGGGCACGTTGTTTACCACGTAGCCGGCTATACATCTAGCGATAGGATCGTAAATTACAGGTTTCTTTATTTTGTTGGGTTTGGGCAAGTCATTCCGAACCAACGTATCTCCGAAGGCTAGGGGTGATTTTTCTATGGATGCCGTCGGTCGCGTACTGTGACCTGTCTGAGGCTGTAACAAGTTATTCTGTTAGTACAAATAATATTTTAAACAATTTAAAACGTTACCAAATAATAAAAAAAATATTTAAAAGTAATACCTTGTATATTTGATATTAATTAAACTTTTTGTTACGTAATCCAGGGCGCGATTTTTAAATTCATTGTTGCCAACCATGGACATATTCGACGCCGGTGCTGACTAACTGGAATTTAAATTTCGCACTGGTGATTTAGGTGGTAGCTCTGCTGTAAAAAATGTCAAGTTGCCACATTTATTTATTTATTTCCTGACATTGTCATTCGGTTGCCATTGACACTTTAGTTTTGTAGTACGAGGTTTGATTAAAATAAATAGTGTTGTGATACTAAAACTTAAAAATGTTTACTAGTAGACGGACATTGTTCTTTTAGAATCTCTTTTAGTGCTCATTGAAACATTAATAACTTATAATAATAACTGTTTTATAATAACAAATAATAACTGTTTATATATATATATATATTTATAATGAATTTATTTTTGTTTCCTAAAATATTTTGATTAAAAGAAAATATGTAAAAGTGGGCAACGCTGTGCCGGTCAAGCTTAATGACATGACTAAAAGTTTATTCGATATGAACTATAATTAATTTTATATATCGAGAAACTATGGTTACAACTCGTCGAATTTCACACTGCTTTATGTCAGTTTAATAATATATTTTAATAGTTTTGTGCTTAGGCGTAAAAGTGCTTTACTTTTATGCCTAGGCGTTAAAATGACTTTTTTGTATTGTCAATCACGTCGCAAAAATTAATACGTTTGTGACGTTTAAAAAATAACATATATTGTTCTATTAGTAGTAAATATGATACTATTTGTGGCGAGTCCGCCAATGCACGCCAGGCACGAAAAGGCATTTTAGGCTGAATACAACGTTCTATTTTTTCAAACATTTACAAATAATTTTTTAAACAATTTCAATCTTTGCAAATAAAATAAAAAGATGTAAATGTAAGTAATTAGTAATAAAAAATACACCTTTTTTCAAACGTTACAAAAGTATTAGTTTTTGCGAAGTGATTGACAATATAAAAAAGTAATTTTAACGCCCAGGCATAAAAATAAAGCACTTTTACGCCTCAGCATAAAGGTACGAAAATACAAAGCGAAAATATATTATTAAACTGACATAAAGTGTCAAATTTATGAGCGTAACCATTGTTTCTCGATTCACCCTGTATGAGTCTTAAATAGGTGCAAATATTTTCAGGATTGGTATATCTCTTGTACAATTACAACACCAAGACAATATTCGATATTCGTTTGTTTTCAGTAGTTGTACTCTAATATGTTAGGTGTAGTTTTAAAAAAGCTGGGAGCACATAGAATAACTTAAACTAAAAAAATGTTTTTTTTTTATAAAATGGTTGGACATAGAACGTCAAAGACGACGTCTTTGGACATAGTTTGCAGGCCCTAGACACTCAATAGTAATTTTATGGGACTACAAATTTAGTTTCTTCCGCATCGCCAGACGGCGCAAAAGATATGAAAGTACAAGTTTCTAATTTATATACGAAGATGACATGACAGCTTCTATATTTACTATCATCTATGGTCTAGTTTTGATCTAGTTGTCGAGATGTTGGTGATCCGTCAAATTATTTTTAAATCATTTTTAAATAATTATTAATTCAGATATTCCTGATTAGCCGGAAAGGTCGGTGATTTGTGTTTATAGTTTGTGTTTTTATTAGTTTGTGCATTTTGATATTTACGGTCGATCACCATTTTCGTGTTAGATACTAAACTTTTTTATTAAAGACATTTTTTTAAACATCTTAGGAATAATATATTTATGAAGAAAATAAAAAAATATTTAATCATAAATAAGTAAGTACATAGTTGGTAAAATAGTATTTTTAGTAACAGTAAATTAGTAGTCTATAATATTTTTACTATATTATAATTTATTTCTTAAATCAAAAAAAAATAGGCGCTATGTGCTCTATTGTTGGTGTTTAAAATGTACCTATGTATTCATAATGTTATTTTTAGTTTTGAATATGTTACACTTCTAATGATTTAATAAAACATAAGATATAGTAAACAAGTCTATATTTTTTTATATCTCACAAGGAATAATTTTGTGCTTTAATAACGTTACCGTTTTAGTTAGCGTTAATAAATAACGGAACGCTAAAATTCTGTCATGCCAAAACTCTCCATTAGTTTCTTCCGGATCACCAGGTGGCTCTAAATGAAGGACTTATTTGTTTTATATATATAGGACATATAAATGTGTCCAATCTATCTCTAGTACGTGACATTAGTCTATGATAGTTTGGACGAACGTCATTTTTGGACATAGAACGTCAAAAATCAACAAGCTTATGCCTGGACATAGCACTTTTGAGGTCGCGAGTTCATACACTGCCGAACATAGTACTTATGCGCACCAGATAAACCGAATTGCAGGGACATTGCCCTTTTTGTTTTACCATATTTACACACGTCCTATTTATAAAAAGGACCTAGACTCTGCTTTTGGCAAGAATTCTAATGGTGCAAAAATCTTAATTTTGTGTAATGTGGACATAGCATATCTGTGCTTTTAAGTATCGATATTTTCTCTTTACCATTTTTCAAATAAGTCCAAAATAACCGAGTTATTTAAGTTTGAAAATTAAAAAAAAATATTTTTGGAAAAACAATTTACAGCCACCGGTTTTTTCCTGTGTTTGCATCCCTTTTAGTGCCGTAACCATAGATTAAAGCTGTAACTAGGATAATATCAGAGCTTAAGAAATTATACCGTGGAAAATTTGCGGTGAACAGGCAGTTCTAAAAAGTTTTCGAAAAATATACAGGGAAATTTAAAAGAAAATGCATGATGTTCAACATCTTTTTTTACGAAAAAACCTCATAGACGTGTTCCTGGGGTCGAAATATACCACCCCTGAAAATACTTGCACTTATTTAAGACTCACCCTGTATAATTACTTACAAGGTATTACTTTTAGCCACAAAAATATAATGTTTACTCCTAATAAAACAATATACTATTTTCTCGTTAAGCTAATAATAAAAAAATAGTTATTTTTTATACAAGACGATAAAATGGTATTTTATCGTCGACCGAAAAGATTAATTCACGAGCGATGAAATCGCCAGTGAATTAATTTCGGATCGTCGTGTATAAAACAATATTTTTTTTCATAGCGAGTTACGTTCTAAAAAATATTCAGAAATTATTATTTCAAGGAATTTATTACGAGTAGAAAAAATATTGTGCTGGGTTGGCGTTGGTTTCTATGTAATTTGACAAATAAATAAAGCTGTCTCTTTAGCTGTCAGTTTTGAGTCAATATTTTTTAATTCTCTTTCGTGTTGATTGCTGATTGAATTGGAGCCAGAAATGGCTCAAAACGAAATAAGTAAATTACCAACAGATATTCAGGCTGAGGCGACAAACGCCATATCCAAACTACTTCCATTTAAATCCCGAATAACTTATGAAAAGGAATACAAAATTTTTCAAAAATGGAAGCAATTAAAAAACGTGCGTGAAGAAATAAAGTTTTTACCTCGCTGTTAAAGTATCATTTAATCTACCCTTGCGGTTAAAGTACTATTTTATCTACGATTTTTGATAGATATAAGGCAATTTTAACAGTTTCTATGGAAAACGGTTACTTGTAAACACAATCCGAGGACATACTTTAAAGTTGAAAGATAATTTATAATAAGAATCTCAAAACTGAATTTTACCCTACTAGATTGCTTCTCCGTTATCTTTGTTGTAGTGGTAGTTTGCAGCGATCTCCTAAAACTGACACCCGCCACTGCGGAAGTAGCCGGTCGGTTCATTGGCGTGCTCAGCCTCTCCGATTTACTTCTCTGCTGTTTTCGTTCGGTGGCCGTCTTGGCCCTGGAGACTTCCCTAAATCGACACAGAGTAATTTAATTCCAAATGAAATAGGCAAAGGAGAGCGTCGGCCTTTTCTTACGGTTTTTCCGGTTTGTTTCCTTTGGACACCTTCCGCAAAACGTTTAGGGCATTCGTCAGACACTTGTCCCTTCCATATAATTTTTCGGGGTCCTGATTCGGTCGTCCGTCCATGGTTTTGGCCACTTTGGTCGTTATGGGCGACACGGTGGAGGGTCGGGACGCGGTAGGCGATATTGAAGCTAGAAGATAAATTATGTTTAAAGGTAGATACTACTGAAATATTGAGAGACTGAAGATAGAGTATCATATATCCGATTTCCAATGATACGATGTTAAAGGTAGGTTCAAATGCACACCTGAATATCGCAAAATAAAACCGTCTTTTATTTACAATAATAGCGAAATTTGCAAAGAATTCTAGTGGAGTGCCCAGAGACCTCAAAAAAATATAGACCAAAAAAATTAGACCTCGGAATTCAATTACTGTTAATGTATTAATGTGAAACCTTCTGTACTGTGTTTTATAGATAAAATACTAAAATGTTTACTCATTTTTCTTTCGTTGCTTTTCATTTTTTATTTTAGTAATTTTGGTAAATTAAGTAATTTATTAATTATTTCCTTCTTAATATTTTGATTTTTTTAATTATTTTTCTAAGTAAATTTATTAAAATAAATAAATATAATGCATAAGCTAAACCTATTCTGCTTATATCATTGAAATTTTGATTGAAATCGAATTGTACAGGGTGGCGCGTCATATACGACGCGGTTTTTACAAGGAGAACAAAAGTTTGTATTGAACTGAAATTTTGTGAGCTTATGTACATTATTATATATTATTATGTACAGTTCTACAGGGTGTCCCCAAAAAAGTGCACATCAAAGTTATGTTTTTTGTAATGGAACACCCTAGACATTAATTGATTTATTGATTCTAGTAAAAATTAAAGGTTTGTTTCGTTAGAAAAGTATATGACTAAAATGTATAGTTTTTGAAATACATCTATTTTAAAGGTTAATAATATATTTTATTTTAATGGGCCGATTTTGATGATTTTTTAAGCAGTGTGTTGCCAAATTATTTGACTTTTTAGTATTTGTTTCTAAATTAAAAATGAAACTCCCCATCTGTTAATTATACGGAGGAAAGTTTGAAACACCCTACGAAATATGCTAAAACGACAAGAAATTTAAAAATCATTTTGTCATCTAGATACATACTTTCTCAAGGGTTTGCTTTTTGGTTCATCTCATTAGCTTTATTTTGTGGGAAATATTCGGTTTTAAAGGAGCCACTAACATTTTTTCGTAATTTTTACATTAAAACCATGTCTTTGCTTTTGGGCGTAGTCAACACATCTAGTAAGTTCTGCTCCCGAAGCCGGCCTTCTTGACATAAGATTTGCTCCATTTAATCTTCTTCTTGTAGTCCGTTAGTTAATATATACGGTCCTTAAGTACAATTCATTATCAATTTGAAAAGCTGACAAACGGCGATTTCTTAGCGATAACCTTACAAGTCGATCGTCTCAATTAGAAGTTCTCATACGAAGGTTCCTGGATGTCTAGATTGACGTCCTTATGGACGTGGTCATAATTCAAAAACCATTTAGTATACTCTATGGTATTAAGGTATTTTTGGAACCGGAATTTTATAGCAAATTCCGTGAATGAATAAATAAATGATATATATTTAACTCATCCTGTATACCTATAAAAATATTTTTGAAATATGAACTACCATTAAACATATATTTTGTAAAAGGTTTGGAGTGAAAATCTCAAATAGGAATCCTGATACAGAGCTTTTCCGGAATACGTAGCCATCTTGAGCGTATGTATGCATTTGTATGTGTCTTTATTTAAACACTAATATATCTTATTAAAAATCACTATATATCTTATTAAAAATACAATGCAAAAAGTTTTATAAAATTTCGTTGACAGTAAATGAATTCCGAGATTTGTATCCCATAAGGGGCTTAAAGCACTCCACCTAACTAACAACAAAAATAAAGTACATAGAACAATTTTAATTTACTTTATTCTTTGAATAAGAAGACTAAGGAAGGAGCATATCAAAAATCTTAAGTACACCGCGATGGGCCTCAAATATGGCCGACTTAAATTCCGGTTTATCAGTGTCTAATTTTATTTAAAAAATGTAAAACTATGACGTAGGGTAGACGTGGGGTAGACTCAATAATTTGTTGTTTTATTTTACGTAGTGAATAAATGTTGGTAGTTATTAAAATTGTTATAAAAATATGTAATTCTAATAAAAATAGATAAGTTATAATAAGTATTTATTAACACAAACATCCGATACGCTACTGAAGCAGGTAAGTCAAATTAACGTATCTAAATTCTTTGACATCTAATCTTTGACAAGTAATAAATAAATGCTAAAATGCAAGAAAAATATATAATTTAGTTAATTTACTTACTAGCGAAAAGTTGTTCCATTATGTCACTCAATTTTTGTCGAGATCTACCGCACGCTACACAACCAACTATTTTAGAATCTTTTTCGATAAATCGCGATAGTGTCACTGTTAATTTAAGTTCTGCTACAATTTCCATCTAGATTTACTACCTCGAAACAACTATCAGTAGTAGAATAAATAACAAATAACATAAAATAAGCTCCGTAAAGACTGACAAATCCACAAAATTTCAAATCAAATTCAAATGTGTCAAATGAATCGTCAAACAGAACTGTCAAGGATCCCCACCCTAGAGTGCTTTTATGGTGCTTTTTCCGGCCACCATGCATGAATACATGGATAGCATTATGCTCCTTCCTTAGTCTTCTTATTCAAAGACTTTATTAGATTTATATTACTTGCATATTTACTCATTATCTGTTAGAAGTATCATTGAACGAGTTAAGCTTGATTTTCATGCATCCGTTGTCCGACGATACGTTGATACGACATTAATTTTATTGGTAGAATTTAAAGACTTTGATTGGTTAAAAAATAACGCAGTTTTTAAATGTATTGCATTTTCATGCCTCCGTTTGTCGGATATACTTTGGTGTTATTTTATATTTTCGTTCCCATAACGATTTTGCTATTTTACTTATATTTTTATTAAGGTTAGATTAAATTTGTCAAAAAGTGTCAAAACGTCCATTATCGTATGAACGGGTCCGTTGACGGGCTGAAGTAAAATATTTACGGATGAAAAGTGGCGCGAAAACGCTATGACCAATCAGAGCACCGTCGGACCAACGTACCAACTTATAACGCATGAAAATGAAGCTTTATTCTACGTAAAATATCTGCTGTCTGATTGGTCATAATATTATTATTATGACCAATTATATATATCGTAGGTTATGCAAAATATATCTTGACATTTTGTATTGGCTTTCTAGAATTTTATAATTTCGATGTACAATTCTCAACTTCAATAATTTCGTGGAGTCACCTCGATAACGGCTGCTATTCATTAAAATAAGCAAAAAACGACTTACCTAATATTTAAAAAGAAATAGTTATTGTCAATTATTTATTTATTTAAATGTCAAATCTGGTAGATAGCGCATAAGAACAGCTTCTGTTTAACTATATAATCTTTAAGCTAATTCAAACCAAAAACTGGTTCAAAAGAAAATATTTTTCACAATATATACAACTATGACTGTAATTTTATATTATAAAAATAAAATTTTATTAAAGAATATCTTACCTGAGTAGGCTTTTCGTCGTAAAGTCGGTGACTTTAACGTCCTATAATCAACAAATTGTTCCCTGTTTACTATCGATTGTACAGTTTTTGGTCTTGGTTTTACCGCTGACGACTGCCCAGCTACTTCATCTCTTTTACCTTCAAAAATCAAAACACACTTTTTAAAGTACAGTAAACATAATTAAATAACGGAATTACTCAGGGGAATTCCAATTAAATTGGTATTGCTAGTCTTCATAATCCTTGACGATTTCTGCGTAAGCCTCGTCAGAGAAATACGCAAGGTCCTTGGCGCTTCTTTATTGTACACATCCGCTTTGTCGTTAACATTTTCCACATTTAACACTGGCAACGTTCTGGATATGCCGTCACCACCTAATCTACATCGAGATGGGGGATTTTATCATGCCGAAACAAGTCTACATTGCTTACCGACTGAGAGAATACATGTGCGCTAGGATATTATAAATTCCTCCCACTTTGTTAAAGGGTTCGTTTTTGATGAGAACTATTACTTCCTCGGGAGGTAACTTCACCATACAACAAATGTCAGATATAATTCTCGCTTGGTCTTTCGTTTCTAGGGTTTTTATTGGATTTGTTCTTAAATAAAAAAAAACAGTAATATTAGAGGAGTAAAAAAACAAGACTAACTAAATAAAAGATAAGAAGTAAAAGAGATATAACTTTACTGAAAGTATTTATGGCAACTTTGAAAAAATTGTTTAACAAATTAAATTAACAACAAAGTAAAAATTAAGCTTGATTTTCATGCGTCCGTTATCCGTTGATATGATGGTCCGACGACGGCACACAGTAGAACGATCGTATGTTTGATGCTGGACATAACACTTAAAATCGTATTTAAACTTTTAATACAAATTTCTTCAAATACATATTTAGAAGGCCATAATTTAATCAACTAAAATCAAATTTTATTGAAAAATTCACCCAAAGCTATATATTCTGGTATAAAATATATGCGTCTCTTGTTAAAGATATTTAATATATGGGAGGTTTATAGAGAAAATTATGGATTAAATAAATGACTTAATTCATGTGCCCCATACAAAAGTGTTAGCGAATAATTTAAAAGAAATTTTGAAACACTTGGGTGTTTATTTAACTCTATTCTCCGTGAAAATATACATTTTTAAGGGAAATTTATTAATAAGCATCTATCTTTCGTAATTATCAAAAAGTCCCACCGAGTCCCGATTATTTGTTGGTGGGTACAACTTCTCTATCTTATGCTAAACTTATAAATACAAAGTTTTATAGCAGCCGCTTGCAGCAAAGATGGCTATGGAAAATTTTGTTTAAAATTTAATTTGTTGGGATACACTATACAATAATTAAGGAATAATTGTTATTGAATACATGTTGGTATTAAAGAACTGGACAAATCGCAAGGTCATAATTCATATAGAATAAAAATATGATAAAAAGTTCATTAAGTTTTGGAATAAGTATGAAATTATGCAGTTAAATTTGTAAGAGTCAATTTAATACGGAAATTCAAATAAAATATATATTCTGGAAAAACACCCCTGCGCTATTCAGTAAGTTATCTATAATAAAGTTATGACTATTTTTAACAAATTTGGAGATTTTAGAACAGATTTATTCAAAAAAATCTCTTAAGTTAGAAATTTTGCATAATTGCTGAATGTCCAGCAAATTGCATTGCATCGATCCACTGTGCGGCGTTCTGATTATTCATAGCGTTTTCGTGCCACTTTCCACTTTTCATCCGTAATTTTTTTACTCCAGCCCGTCAACTGAGAAATATTGTACGATAACGGACGTTTTGACACTTTTTTGACAAATTTAATCTAACCTTCAAAAATAATATTATAATAGTACAAGAGTACACCGTCGGCGCCGGCGTCGGGAAAACGAGAATTTTAAGAAATCTGGTCTTTAATATATCTTTTGCTATGCTCTCCTAGCCAAAGTGCGGGCCGTCTCGCTGCCGGTAGATTACTGCAGTTCACTACTGCGCATCACATCTGTACAAGGTATCCCCCGTGTGTTTTATTTCTCGTTTATGAGTAGAAATACAATGATGCGATTTTCACATTACTTTGCTACTTTTTTATGAAATTAAATATGCTACACATAGGTTTCCCTAGCCTCTTAATTCCTGAAATACAGGGCGGATTTGTGATGCGCAGTAGTGAATAGATGTTGAAAAGAAATTGATGCGTAGTAGTGAACGCAACGTCTACCGGCAGCCTGCATAGCAAAATATATATTAAAAAAACAACTTTCTTAAAATTCTCTCTGCAAAACGTTGCTAGCTCTTCTCGTCTAGCTAGACTGTAAGTAACAATAGCGAAATTGTTATGGAAATGAAAATATAAAATGACGCAGGCATGAAAATGCAATAAATTTAAAAACTGCGTTATTTTCTAACCAATCAAAGTCTTTAAATTCAACCAATAAAATTAATATCGTATTGTCGGACAATGGATGCATGAAAATCAAGCTTTACTCGTTGGTGCTTGATACTGAGAAAGATAACGAATCCATATGTACAATGGACATCAGAAAAGGTTGAGCAAATACTAAAAAAATATCACATTAAATCTGTGCTGTAAGAAAAAAAGATCAGATGCATCAAAACAAGAAGAAAATACATCTGTCAGGTACCCTGTGAATGCTGTGAGTCGTATAATAATTTGAAGGAACACAACCTGACTAACAAAAATGTACGATATAACAAACATAGATAACATAGAGAAATATGAAACGATGTGTGCTCCAAGAAGCACAACATAAAATGGTTAAAAGTCCTGGTGTCCTCAAGAAATTTCAAATTGAAAATGCATAAGTATATTCAATATCAATTAAACTTTTAGTTGCGTAATCAAGGTCACGATTTTTAAATTCATTGTTGCCAACTATGAACATATTAGGCGCCCGGCTGACAAACTGGAATCTAAATTATCCGCTGAGGATTCAGGTGGTAGCTCTGCTCATAGATAAATGAAACAAGTTTAGATTGGAAAGTGCTCATAAGGACAATGTAAACACTATTTGGCGCTATTCTTGCAACGGTCGCGACCCAAAACTTTTGAAAATTTCGGAGCGGTTCGGCTTTTTCCGGAATTATATCGCCAAATATTGTTTATTCAAATTTATTATTATTTTCGTTTAATTTTATAAATAAAATACAGTGTGTTGCATACAAGAAACTTTATTTTATATAATGACGCATGTATGAAATACCTATGAAACATTGGAAACCGACGTTATACCATGATCCACGATGGTTTTTGCATGGTTTTTGCAGTTCACAGTTCACAGCACAGCTTTTTAAGTTATTAATGTCACTTTTTCACAATTATCACCGATAGGAGTAAATAAAACTTGAATTAAACTCACAAAATAGCAATAATTACTTTGAAAATGGACGCTATAAACACTTTTCGGAATTTCTTTAATGAGAGCGGTTTAGATTTTGAAAGATTATTATGATTTTTGAAGATTCTGACTTTGACAAGAGAAAATTATTTCTGTTTTTGTTTGCCGTTGTTCTTAGCCACCGCTATAGCAGCGCCAGATTGCATATAACGGTGGCGACCCAAAATAATTTCGCGATCCAAAATTTTTACGGGCTTTCCAATCTAAACTTGTTGCATTTATCTATGGCTCTGCTGTAAAAAATGTCAAGTTGCCACACTTATTTATTTATTTCCTAACACTGTCATTCGTTTTGACATTTTAGTTTTATATTATGAGTTTTTAGTTTAAATAAATAGTGTTGTGATACTTTAAGCTTAAAAATGTTTAATAACAGACCTTGCAGTCGAACATTGTTCTTTTTACAACCTCTTTTAGTGCGACGTGTACAAGATAACTTACTAGCCATTACAAAAAAACTCATCGCAACCTTATTAGAATATTTGGAACGGGAAAGTGGCAGTAATGGCCCTTTATGTCTCTTAAGTGCTGTTAAGGAGGTGAGTTTTTTTGATGTAAATAATAACTGTTTATATATTTATAATTAATTTACTTAATATTTAGATTAGAAGAAAATCACGTGACTAACTGTCAAAAGTTCTTTGATAATTACTTTATTATCCTTCTGCCTCTTTCTGTCATCCACGGATGCACCACCAGCTCCTTTATCCCTATTCTCTTTTTAGTATCAGCCACCAGCATCCTGTTCATCATAGCTCTAAACTCCAATGAAAACAGACTCAGAGCTCGACGATGACTCGATCCCAATCCTCTGCTTATTTGAGCCACGAGTTTCTTCCTTCGTTCTTGAGAAGATACTTGGTCGGACCGATTACTAACAAAAGGCAACTGTCCAATAACCTAGAATAAATACTTTGTAAATAATATTAATTAATAGCAAGGTCTTGATACTTTCATGAATCTTAAAAAAAATTATTTATTTCTAAGTGAAACTGAAATTAAAATGTGCTGTGTTTTTTTTTTATTACAAACCTCTTAGATATATAGGGTGAGTCTTGAATGTAGAATGTTTAGGAGGGGAGTCAATCACCGCGATCTTATAGATCTCTATTGTGTGTTCCCCTTTCTTGAGTTATAACAAGTTATAACTCATCATACAGTCTCAGGGCTTTAACAAAAGCCAGTATCTGAGACGGCTCCACAGAGGCCAGCTCTCCATCCTCGACATCCCAAAGTACCAAAATTCATGGCACGTCGAAATGGTCTTCGTCTCGGCGCACTCAGTGATAAGGTGTTCTGGTGTTTTCCCATTTTCCCCACAGAATCTGCATTCGCCGTTGTTTCTCAGCTTCAGCCTACTGAAGTGTTCGTTGAGGAGACAGTGTGACTGTTAGAAACCCCGTGACAATCCGAAGATTGTTTTTACTTTAATCAAGAAAAACTTTTGATTTTTCTCGGTCGTAAGTTCCGAGGAACTTTTTCGAGTGTCTTAGACCGTTGGAGGACACCCATTCCAAGTTACGGATGTAGTCTTCCAGATTCTTCAGTTCCGCTTTCAGTTGATTCCCGATGGAAAACAGAACGGTTCTGGTCCAGTTAGTGGAGTGTTCCCTCCTTTCCTAGCTAGATCATTTGCGTTTTCATTGCCTTCTATCCCTTGGTGAGCAGACACCCAGAGTAGAAGGACTTTATTTTCTTTGCCTAATTTGTTGAGCTTCTCTAGGCATTCTTTGACCAACTCCGAATTGATGGTTACTGAGTTGATCGCGTTAAGTGCTGCTTTACTATCGGATAGGATGGCAATTTCTTGTTTTCGATAGTTCCTATCTAAGATAAATTGTACGCATCTTTCGATAGCGTAAATTTATGCCTGAAGGATACTGGGATAGGTGCCCATTGGTTCGGAGGATTTAGTTTTCGGCCCAAATATATCCCTGTCCCTGCTTTGGTTTTGGAAGCATCAGTATACCACGTTACGGTATGGTCTTTTATATGCTAAGTAAGGCGTTTCTTTCTTCCAATACTTTTTATTACTCCATACTACAGTGAGGTGTTTCTCAAAGTTGTAAATTCTTGGTATGTCATCCACTGGGAGTTGGAGAAGTGGAATTTTCTTTTTGAGGGTGTTCCAAGCCCCTGAAGTGAAAAATCTCCCAGTACTGTTTCCGTCAATGGCCATTCTCTCAGGGTGAGTCTTAAATAAGTTCCAAATACTTTAGGGGTAGTATATTTCGACCCCAGAAACACGTCAATTTTTTTTAGATTTGGAATTTTTTGAAGAAATTTTTACGGTTAAGAAGAAAAGCTTATGGTTTCTTATCAAAGTTAAAAGAAATATACCGGTTGGTGCATCCTTCTGGAATACATAGGAAATCCCACGCAAATTTATTTCCTGACCTTGTCATTCGTTTTGACAATTTAATTTTGTATTACGAGTGCTATTAAGAAGGTCAGTTTTGTTTATGTAAATAATAACTGTTTATATATTTATAATTAATTCATTTTTGTTTTCTAAAATATGAACTATATTTACGACTTTGCTGTAAAACCAAAAGTAAAGCGAAGAATATGGACAGTTCAAAATTTACATGGAATTTCCTGATTTCAACGATAATTCACTACCGGGTATGGTAAGGTATTACCATGCCGTATAGTATGATTCCAAGACTCCACAGGTCGACTTCAGGGCCGTACTTCCTTCCAGTAATAAATAATTCCGGAGCAGCATATTCTGGCGAACCGCAGTGAGTACGCAAAAAATCGTCCGGATGGTACTGATTGCTCAAACCAAAATCCACTATTTTAATTTGAGTTTTTTCCGGATTTAACATCACATTTTCCATTTTTAAATCTCTATGTACTACCTGAAAAATGTAATATATTTGATTTAATTTAATATACAGGGTGAGTCCTAAATAAGTGCAATTATTTTCAAGGTCGGTAGATCATCAATAAAGGAAACATATTTTCTCTTCTCCGTTTTTGAAATAAGAGCAAAATAACCGAGTTATTTTACTTTGAAAATAAAAAATATATTTTTTCCTTAAATTTTGATAAACCCTGGATGTTTTCTGGATTTTCTTTCTTGTAAATTTAAGCTAGTATTCTAGTACTTATGTTGCCACAATATCGAGATACTATGTTTTTTAACTAAAAATAAAAATAAATTGAATAATACCAAATTTTCAATTTTTTTTTCGCGAAAAAACCTCACCTATTTCTGGGTTCGAAATATACCATCTCTAAAAATATTTGCACTTATTTAAGACTGACCCTGTATAATAAAATATTAGCCAAAACAAATTCTAAATTTTAATTAACTGGTAATAATTCGAGCATGTTTATAGTACCTAAAGTACTGTATGATAGAAAAAATCGGCGTTAGAAACTGACTTTCATTTATACTGTATATTAAACTAAATATATGTTGTGGTGTATTCCAACAACCAACATAGACCAGAACTTCACGCCAACACGCTGAAGTGAAATATTCCTCAGCAGTGCCATGCAACCGTAATAATTTATTTAACGGGGCCAAAGCAAATGTTTACTCACGCCCAGGTGGTGCATATGAGCGAGGGCCGACACGAACTGCCTGGCGTAATTCCGCGTCGACGATTCGCTCAATTTTCCATTTTTTTGGGCCTTGATGAAGGTGCAAAGGTCGCCGCCCCCGGCCATCTCCGTCACCAGATAGTAGACGTTGTCGGGCCGTTGCATCGTTTGGTAGAGGGCCGCGATGCAGGGGTGGTTTAGTTTCGCCATCAGCTTGGCCTCTCTGAAAGTAAAAATCATCCACCGATCACTATTTCTTAAATTAAAATGTTAATAATAAACAGTAGATACTAATAGATCAGCCATCATTGGCCATTAGTTTGGCATCAGATTGCAGAAACTACCGGGGAATTTCACTACTGGTAATCGGGAGAAATCCTTGCAACAATTATGTCAAACCGCCTGCACCCACATATAGAAAAAAATCCTTCTAGAATCGCAAACGGGCTTTCGCACCAACCAATAAAACTAAAATTATGTGCACTCCCCCGGAAAATCATAACAGTGCTATAAAAATCGGACAAGAACTATTAGAATTTGTAGCGGAATTCAATTACCTCGGCAGTTTGATTTCGGAAACGGCAAATATCGACTGTGAAATTCAGCACAGAATTCGCAGTGCCTACAATCATAACTTGAGCACAAAAACGAAACTTGAAGTGTACCGAACAATAATAATCCCCACCATTTTATACTGGCGAAACTTGTGTGCCTTACCGCCGGCACACGACCGCATTAAACAAGTTGAAATAGAGACACCTTAGACAACTGTTAAAAATCAAATGGTACCACCATGTTTCAAACGTATCAGTCCTTGAAAAAGCTAGCTGCGAGAGTGCTGAATTCATGATTACTAAATCCCGCTTAAGATGGGCTGGCCACGTATGCAGGATGCAAGAGAACAACCAACAGGATGCAAACCTACCGAAGTCTCTTCTTTACGGTGAGCTTGTAAAAGCTTTGAAAATCGCGATCTCGAAAGTAACGTAACGACTACAACGAGAGCATCAACGCCAACAACGACTGACCAAAGATCGACAGACGAAAACTGGAACCTACGAGCGCTCCAGAAGTGGCGCGACCACTGGCACTGGAGCATACACGTCGCGGTATTAGGTCGTTACCAGTTACATCTCTTCGCGACAAAGAAACAGGCGACGGCGCATAGGAGCGTGACGGCTGGAACGAAACACGTCGCGATCAAAGTCGCGCGTCGCTACGTAGCTTTCGGTTGCTACTTTTTGCGACCCTAGGAGGGCGACTGTTGTTGGAGCCAAACACGTCGCTATGCGGTTACTGCGGTTCGAGTTAACTCCAAGAGCAATTATAAATAATGTATAGTTTCGTCGTTCTTCAGTAACAGGTTCCTGATTCGTTGTGGTGCGCGACACGACATTACAAAAAAAACGCTCCAATCTCGTTACTCGAATACCGATAGACCACTAGTTGATACACACTGCATATTTAAAAATTACAAATTCTACAATTAATGTCTGTAAATATATCATTAATGGTTTAAAAAATTACCTGTAGAGATTCCTAATAACATAATCTTCCTTAATTTCTTTCACATTCATAATCTTAACTGCTACTTTAACGTTTAAAATATTATGAACTGCCTCTTCGACCCTACAATTTTAATCACCAGCCCGGGATTACAGTATGAATAAACAATGCATATCCCTATATTTAGCACAAAACCTACCGAGCAAAGTTTCCTTTCCCCAGTAATCGGCCGGTAAATCGATAGTTTCCTATGATAAGGAGTTTTTTACCGTTCTCTTGTAATGTCATATCTCAATTTTAATATTTTAGAATCTTGCGGCGTTTTAATCTCTCAAGCCCATTATTCTCTGGGGCACATCGAATAATTTCCCAAACGAATGATTCACTATAAAGGGATGATCTCGAACAAAAAGACGTTTTTAGAGTGGAGATGCAGAGACAGGTTGACGTTTTGATTGTTGTCAAAATCATTAAATTCAAACACACCTTATACAGGGTGGCGCCTCTCATACGCCGCGGAGGCTCCAAGGAGAACGACAGTTTGTATTGAAATGAAATTTCGTGAGCATATGTAGGTTCATACAGAGCACTTTAAAAATATAGAGAGTTTTACAGGGTGTCCCCAAAAAAAAGTTACATATCAAAGTTGTGTTTTTTGTAATGAAACACCCTATATATTAATTGATTTTCTGATTCTGGGAGAAAAAAAAGGTGAGTTTTAGAAGAGAAATATATGACTAAAATGTAAGGTTTTGTGCCAATTTTTAAATTACAATAAAAGCTACCTAAATTGGAATTTACCCAATATAGCCTAATATGTAGTTAAATTAACTATTGTACTTTAAATCAAATTAAAACTTAATCCAAAAAGTTATACAGGGTGAGACAAAATTAATATTGGGCATTGGTCACCTTTAAAAGCATATTACTCTTTTATTTTAAATGGAACATCCAGTATATTATTCCGATATTCAATAGAGAATTCATGTCACTTCAAAATACTACTAAGGTTGCCTACCCATCAAACAAAGATCTTCTGAGATATTTTCATTTACATGATTTCATCTGAGTAGATCTTTATTATTTGATAAAATCTAGGTGGCTCTGATATGTCTGACGTTACTTCAACATAGCTGCATAATTATTCCAACTTTAACAACTAGTTATAATTTTGTGTCAGTTAAAACAAAAAAAATTCTCAGAAATTTGCCGGAAATGCAAGGTTATCTTATATTAGTTCGTGAATGCAGTGTGCATTCACCAATTAAGAGAATACTTAAATACTCCTAATTTTATCTAGTCTGTTTTTTTTATGGGGATATGTTAAAGGCAGTGTTTTCAAAACCGGACCAACTATTGTCGACAACATGAGAGAAATTATTGTAGCTGTTTTTTGAGGTAGAACTCCACGTATGCGTTTTAAAATGAAAAGTTTCTTTTGAAAAGACAATCATATCATGCAGTTAACAGGAAAGGAAGCATTTTGAGCATTTGGTTTCATCTAGCTAGTTTTTGTCACATTATTATAGGTTTATGTTTAGTTTTAATTCTGCAACAATTAAAATATGGTTTAACCGTGTATATTTTTTATTACCGTTGAGTATTTTACTCTACAATCTTTAATTTTTGTTAAATTAACCAAAGGTATATCACAGAGCCACCTATATTTTTTCAAATAATAAAAATCTACTGACACAAAATCATATAAAAAAAAGAAATTTTTGTCTGAGAGGTAGGTAACCTTAATAATATTTTGAAGAAATATAAATTCCCCATTGAACACCGGAAAAATATACTTGGTGTTCCATTTAAAATAAAGGAGTAACTTGCTCTACCGTTTTTCAAAGTCCAAAATAACCGACATATTTTACTTTGAAAATGTCAAAAAAATAACGCTTATATTTTGAGAACCACTGGATCTTATCTGTTTGCGAAAAATTGTTTTTTTTTTAATTAAAAAGTTTCTAAATTTTTTTTCAAAAAAATCCAAATTTTCAAAACTTTTTTTCGCGAAAAAAACCTCATATACGTGTTTCTGGGGTCGAAATATACTACCCCTAAAAATATTTGCACTTACATATTTAAGACTCACCCTGTATAAAAATCATGTTAATAATAAGAGTTCAACGACGGAAAATATCGTGTAATAAAATATCTTTTTTTTCAGGTTCTAAGGCAGACAACTTTGCCTATTGTATCTGAGCGTCATCAGATTTTCCAACGACAGCTGTCACACCGACTTGATATTCAGACTGAGATTAAATTCAGCATTTGCAGCTTGGAACGTAATCACAATAGCAAGAAAGTCGGATTGATAAAGGTAATTTTAAATCACTTATCCGTATTTTATTCATCAACTTCTTTTTTATTGAAAATGTCTAAGTATTCTATAATAATTTTTAGAATATCTCACTTCAATATCAATATTCGGTAGTGAAAGTACTTAACAAAACATACAGTTGAATGAAAATTGCGTTGTGATATAAAATACAGAGTGTCTCATTTAAAACAGCGGAAATTATATTTAGTTAACCAACCTAACCTAACTAACTCTCCTGTGTTGTTGAACCGAAATCAATGAAAGCAATTATTAATGAATACGTAAAAAACCAACTATAGGGACAAAAATAAAGAAACTAAAAATTAATATAAGAATTAAAAGTACAGGGTGGGTCAAATTCGATGCTTTTAAATGGAAACACCCTTTTCTATAAGAGATAGACAAAAACTAATATCGGTGTCTGGAGCTCAATTTGTGTCACAAACATGATGGTGAAAACCGCATATCGATATATGTTACCTCGCTATAAGAATATAGATCATTCTTTTATATAGATTGGTGGTAGCAAGGCGGCTGCGGCTTCAAGAATAAAGTGCCTGAGAAAGCCCACCATGATGAGGCGAAACGTCGCATAATAAAAATAAAAAGTTTCCATCTTCAATTAATAAAAAAAATCTCATACCCAGAAGGGGATTATAACAAAATATCAAGTGTGCTATATTTTTGGAAAGATAATATTCAATTATTTTCAGTTAATTAAAAATATAGAGGGTGTCCCAAATAAAAAATCAATTTTTCTGTTGATAACTCTTAAATTATTAATTTTAAAAAAATTATACTTAAACCATTAAATTCTACGCAAAAAGGTGCTTTGGAAATGTTTTCATAGAAATACAAAATTTTCCATAGCAAAAAAGTTACAGCGATTTGTTAAATATGCACATTTTTGAAAAACACCCCGTAACTCCGAAACGGTAACAGATATTGATGTGCGGTTTTCACCATCATGTTTTTGATGAAAATTGAGCTCCAGACACCAATATTAGTTTTCGTCTATCTCCTATAGAAAAGGGTGTTTCCATTTAAAAGCGTCGAATTTGACCCACCCTGTACATAGTTGTTGCTAACCTAATAAAATTAATAGAGTCCAATAGTTTCCTTATGGTATCTGGTTCAATGGAATTCCAGGCTTCTTTCAGAATTCTTATCAAATCTTTCTTATTGCTAATATGACTTCGTCTTATCCGGCGATCTAGTTCCTCCCACAGGTTTTCAATGGGATTAAGGTCTGGACTTTGGGTAGGAAAGTCCATAACTTTAATTTCTTCAGACAAAAACCATTCTTGTAAGTCTTTCGATTTATGCTTTGGATCATTATCTTGCTGAAATATCCAAGTTAAAGGCAAATTATCATCAGCAAACGGAATCATCACTTTCTTTAAGATGTCCAAATACATAAATCGATCCTTCTATTACATACGATTGTTTCTTCTATTACATGCCATTGTTCTATTTAAAGAAGCATCCCCATACCATGCAAGATCCACCATCATGCTTTACAGTGGCCTTGCTATACTTTGGATCAAATTTTTTCCCTTCTGGGCGATGTATCCACGATATACCATCGGATCCAAATATATTGAATTTGCTTTCATCTGAAAACAGGCCCTTTTTCCAGTCATTCGTCGACCAGTGCAAATATTTTTTTGCACAGGTAAGTCGGGCCTTGTGCTTCTTCTTACCGATGAGTGTTTTTTGACTGCTCTTCTGCTAAATAATCCTGCTTCCCTTAGCCTTCTTTGGACGGTTTCAGAACTTATACTGACACCAGGTATTTCACTCAAAATTTGATTTGCCGATTTATGCGGATTAGTTAAGGCGATTTTTTTAATTATCATTTCAATTTTTTTTGTTGTTTTAGAGGAATTGCGAGTTTTGAAATTGGAAATCGTTTTGCTAATGACAGACTTATGCAAATTAAACATTGTGCTTATGTCCATTTGCGGTACACCATTCCGATGTGCGTTTATTATTTTTTCGCGAAGATCTTCAAACAAATATTTTCCGCGTGGCATATTTAGTAAAAATGTAAATCAGAATATCAACAATTTTCACCTTAAGCAAATAACTCCTAAAGTATGGTCAATTTTTATGTTAGATTCTTTATTTATATCCCTTCAAAAATATTTGTGTCCATATTATAAATAAACACCTGATAAGATAAATTTGGAATCTGACGAAAAATTATGGTATTGCTAAAAGAAAATATCTTTAAAACAAACATTATTTTAAATATTGGAGGTTTTTGGTAAATCCGACGAGTTTTAAAAAGTTTCTCTACTTTTGTCTGATAGTGTATATCCAATCAGTTATAGTAGAGACGTAATAATTCAATATTCAGCTAAGACTGCTTCTACCATAGACTTAAAATAAAATTTTAAGTCTATGGCTTCTACCCATTTCATATTAGAGGCTCGTAGGTAAGCAATTTCCACATCAAACTTAATGTTCCTGGAGCGTACTCTGGATTATAGGATTTTTATGGAAGTGTGAAATGGGTAAAATAAAAGGTGGATCGATATTTACGCCATCAAAAAATATCACTGTACTTAGGCGTAATAAAAAGATGTTTAGCATTGAAAACTTTTAATAATAATGACCATACACCGGGTACAATAGCGCGTTGGGCATATGTAGCTTCTAGAATAAAAGACTCACATTTTTGAGCCAACCTATAGAAGTTAAAATATGTTTCTGAAATACATCCTAGTACATACTTTTGATTTACACTTAAACAAAATTCCCAGCGTACTATTGCCGGACCCAGTATTATAAAACTAAGGTTAGTTTAGTACTGACCACATTGAACAGTCCTGAGGATGCAGTCAATTTTTTGTTGATATTTTAAAAATGTTTTCTTGTAAATATTTAATGTTTCGAATATACCTGAATTGTTGTGATGTTAGTGTAGCAGTGTCACAGATAAAATTATGGTGATTGTAATGGTTTTTATCTTATTTCATTAATTGTTTTATTTAAGATCCTTAAAGAAACACAAAAATAACGATAGTCCTGAAAGTCTAACAAAGCAAACAATAATTAACAAGTTTCAAAAGAAATTTTTGCTTTACTTAACACTCAGATATTAAAACACTATAGTAAATTTAATGAAGAAATAAACTATAAAAGTCCACTTAAAACTTTTATAATTAACTTGTAATAATTAAAATAATGAAGTTCTTCCTTGTTCTTTCATCTTTTATATTTGAAAAAATAAGACCTTTTCCAACAAAAATACTGATAAAATTCCATTTTTCAAAGTTCAAGAATAAAGATTATTTGGCAAAAAAAGTTTAAACGCAATATTTCAAGTTCAAAGTCAGAGCAAAAGTTTTTACAGTTAGCGAATACTGAAAATACAAATTAGTCCTGAAAAATAGTTTAATTTGTCTAAACTGTCAAAACCAAATTGTACAAATGGCTTTGAAGACGAAGCTGAAAAATAGTTAGTTAATTTGTATCTATTATTTTTGCCTCAATATATTTTGTCCTGTAGCCTTTGACTTTTACTAAGTAAGCTTAAATTAAGATAGATTTTCTGTTTAATGTTTTAATATCTTCATTTTTTGCATTGTATCATAAATTTCAATACAGGGTGTCCCAGAAATAAGTGCAGATATTTTAAAGCGTGGTAGATCTGGTCAAAAGAAACATATTTTCTCTTTACCATTTTTAAAATAAATTGAAAATAAAAATTAATTATTAAAAATTATTAAAAATAATTCAGAAAATCACACCACCTGAGGAGTTTGGCAGAGATGCATTATTACAAAAAATAAATTAAAAGAAATAACTTACCCACCACCAATGACTTAAAGAATATATGGACATGTAACGCCCCTATACGGGCTGCAGCAGAATTTGTGACCTTAGAGACCTTTCTTTTGATGGCAAACAATGAGTCATCATTTGGTCACCAGCGACAATTTTAGCGATTTTTAATAGTTTGTGTGTAGTAAACTTTGTATAAACTTTATTACAATGGTGATTATTTGTTCAGCTTTCAAGTGTAAAAGCAGCAGCGATAAGAAAAAGCCAGGAGTTACGTTTCATAGGTAAATAAACAGTCCACTCCAACTTTTTAGCGTTTTCTTATTGAATTCGATATATATATATTCGATAATAATTATCCTTCAATTTCAATTAACATTTATATGTACTTGATATGTGCTATACATATATCGATACTAGTTTTGTACCTTTTGTTAACATTTTAATACGTTTTTTTCGTAATTAATTAGGATGATACACCATAGGCGTAGTCAAAACAATTATCAAAAGATATAAATATTGCTTCAAAAAGCTAGGTTAAGAAAAATATGTGCCACGGCACTGTTTGGTGACATCGGCACGATTTGCTCTCGGATGTTATTTGTCCTTGGATTCTTTAGTCATTGCCCACAACATTAAAAAAATACTTATGACAGATCGATGTAACTGACAATTCTCTTTTTCGCTAAATCACTGCTAAAATAACAGTCTACAACACATTATTGTCATATAGGCTTCATCACAATTTGAACCAGTGATATATAAAACACTTTGAAAAGAGCAAACTACTTTGAATACTTTTCTTAATAGATAAATGTTGAGAATTATTGTCTTTTATCGCCACCCTACGAACAACTTTTAATCTAAGAAAATACGTGTTTTATTCAACAATTATTTTATTTACATATTTTATTTTTTTCGCCACCTTTTCAATGGATTTACATCGAAAATGACTACAGCACAACCGTCGGCCAGGATGCCAAGTGCCAACTAGTTCTTTAAAAGGCGCTGCCGTGGCGAGTTTGCGTCATGTGACGATATTAAGCGACGTTGCCGTAGTTATAACAATTTTAAACTCAAGGCATTCGAAGCAATCAAATTCGTATTAAATTTTAAAAATAAAATAGAGAAACACGAAAGAAAACAAACAAAAAAGTTGAAACCAAAGGAATCAAAACACACTTTTCGAGACAGTTGCCATTAGTTCGAAATAAAGTTATTTTGCAGATAAAGATGGTAACCGTTAGGTATTCATTGAAGGGGTTTGTACTAAAAATAATTTATGTGTTTTTTTTTCTAGAACTATTAGTAATGGGCACTGATAAAAGATTAAAATTAGCATTCCTAATTTTTTGTTTAAAAATTTAAAAATGCTGTGAATTTATAAATATAGAAATATGTAGAATGTGGATAACGTAGGAGGTTGCAACGCTGCAAGGTTTAGATACACCGTAGAGAAATCTGAGGTGAATAAACAAGTGGCACTAAAAAGTTCTTTTGAAAAATGTCATGAAAAAATTTTTAATTTTCAACAATTTTTTATCGCAAAAAGAAGCTCATAGGCGTGTTTCTGTGGTTGAAATATACTACCAGTTAAAATATTTGCACTTATTTCTGAGTCACCCTGTTGTACCAAGGTTGTACCTACCACCTTGTTTGTAAATTACACTACAAAATAAACGTTATTATTATTATAATTTTAAATCGAATAACAATTAGTTAATTTGTCTTCTTTCACTCTTTTAGCCTGAACTATACAAAAAAGAATTAGTGAGGCAATCGTCTATCCAGAGCAATCCCGAAGTCAACATGCAGAAGAACGGCTATTTGCATTTCTCATTAAAGTTCGACAGGGAATTAGAAGGTCTCGTGGTTAAAGTAAGTCCGATCAATCGTTATCCGCCCACCTGAGCCCACTTCCTCTCAACTGAAATTCTTTATTGCCTCTGCTTCAGATCTTCGAAGCCAGAAAATTGCCGATAAAAGACATAATAGGAAGTTGCGACCCGTACATAAAACTCCATTTGTTGCCTGACCGAAAAAAGAAGTTTCAAACGAAGGTACACAGAAAGAGCCAGAATCCGATTTTCAATGAAACCTTTATCTACAGGTGAGTTTCTATTTACAAACAGTACACAGCGTGTTTCAAAAAAACCTAGATCATAACCAGCCAGTAACAAATGTGTGTGGAAAATTATTTTAAAATTGTATATTAATTGGAAATGTAAATACAGGTCTGTATTAAGCCTAGACCATGTATATTTACTTGGATAAATCAACGCCATAAGTATGGAATTAAAAAATATGTCTCCAGCATCACGGCATGTCCTTTTCAAGCCTTCTTTATTACACTTATGAAACGTTCAGTAGGTTTGTCTTCCTCGAGGACCTTACTTTGCGCATGCGCATTAAAAGTTGCACGTATTTCTAAAATAATCACAATTTTATACCATTTACAGCTTCATTTAGAACCTCCCAATTATTGGAAGAAATTAGTGGTTTCAATTACACTTTATAGTTTTTAGTTTACGATCATTCACAATGTCAGTGTAATAAAATATCCTAGCAACAGCTTGCGGTAGTCCGTTGTATCCTTTGAATAAGAAGACTAAGGAAGGAGCATAATGCTATCCATGTATTCATGCAATGGTGGGCGGAAAAAGCACTCTAGGGTGGGGATCCTTGACAGTTCTGTTTGACGATTCATTTGACACATTTGAATTTGATTTGAAATTTTGTGGATTTGTCAGTCTTTACGGAGCTTATTTTATATTATTTATTATTTATTCTACTACTGATAGTTGTATAAAGGTAGTAAATCTGGATGGAAATTGTGGCAGAACTTAAATTAACAGTGACACTATCGCGATTTATCGAAAAAGACTCTAAAATAGTTGGTTGTGTAGCGTGCGGTAGATCTCGGCAAAAATTGAGTGAAAAAATGGAACAACTTTTCGCTAGTAAGTGACTATATAATATACATACGTGTAGTAAACCGATCATTTATGAAATTCACTTAAATTAACTAAATTATATATTTTTCTTGCATTTTAGCTTTTATTTACTACTTGTCAAAGATTAGATATCAAAGAATTTAGATACGTTAATTTGACTTACCTGCTTCAGTAGTGTATCGGATGTTTGTGTTAATAAATACTTATTATAACTTATCTATTTTTATTAGAATTATATATTTTTATAACAATTTTAATAACTACCAACATTTATTCACAACGTAAAATAAAGCAACAAATTATTGAGTCTATCCCACGTCTACCCTACATCATAGTTTTACATTTTTTAAATAAAATTAGAACGACACTGATAAACCGGAATTTAAGTCGGCCATATTTGAGGCCCATCGCGGTGTACCTAAGATTTTTGATATGCTCCTTCCTTAGTCTTCTTATTCAAAGGTTGTATCCATAGAGAACGCATAATATTTAGCTTATAAAACAATAAACTGTTGATTTCTAACCAAAATTTTTCTTGACGGGTGATAATCAAACGCCAAAACAACATTCCTCGCAAATTTTGAAGTATAATTAGTGGAAAAGTCAAAGGTTTGTTAACTTTTTCCAATAATTGAAAATTACTAACACTAATTATGACGTTTTGAATGCTTACAGTAAAATTAGGACATGAAACTTAAACTTCCACGGCTAATTGAAACTACTAATTTATTCCACTGATTTCGAGGTTCTGAACTGATCTTATTTCCATTGTGTAACAACGCTTGTTTTTTCCGTTTTTTATTTGAAAAATTGTATTATATTATATTATTATTTTTTTATACTATATAGCTGAGGATGCAAGTGTTTTCAGTGAAAAGTTAATTTTAAGTTTGTTCAATTATATTTCTATTTTTTTCTTTGGACTTTCTAAATACTCGTAAAAATGACTAGAAAGTGTTTGGTGTGTGCAAGTTCTAATATAAAGGTCTCTGAATTATCTTTTCATTGAAAAGTAAAGTATTCTGTTATTCTTTTATTTATTTTAAACAGCATGCATACTTTCTGGTTAGATTTCTTAAAAATATTGATATTCGTAGGAGTGGCTAAATGCATTTTTTATATAATTTAATTTTTGTGACAGTAAACATTCAATTTATTGTTCAAATATATGCAGTTTACAAATAAAATTTTTAAAATTAATGTTCAAATTTGGCGCGTGGACGATAGGTCCTCGACAAGGATAGATAGAGTAGAAGCATCGCGTGTGCAACATAAAAAGAAGATTAATGGAAGTCGTTGATATGTTTGCGACAGTTTCCATAATGATTTACTTATCCACGTAAGTATATATAATCTAGGCAAAAAACATAAAAATAAGATTCATATAAACGTTGGTATGATTCTGCTTTGTTTCGTAGCTTCAAGAGGTTAAAATCTTAAATGTATTTCCATTTATTATAATTTTGTTCCTAGAGCTTTTAGCCCCTTCTAATGAAATTTGGATGGTATAAAAGTTACTATGAGAGCTACATTTTTTTTATTTTTTTATTGCTAAAAAATCAAAAGTATCAAAAGGTTCACCAGGGACGTGATTATGTGTTATCACTGGAATATTTTTCTAAAAAAGCATGTGCACCTCTGACATTTTTTCTCTTATTAGCAAAAATGTGTAGGACACTAACTCCATATTTTACCATTCTAATATAATTTTCTTTTTTTTACAGCGTGACATACGAGGATTTGGAAACTCGTTATCTTCAATTCTCTGTGTACGATTTTGACAGATTTTCCAGGCATGATTTCATTGGTCACGTAGTTGTCTCAAACTTAAGTGAAGTGGCTGAACACGGTCAAGAATCCGAATATTCCATGCCTATACTATGTCCACCAGTGGTAAGTAGGAAATATGTTGTTTCTTTACCCTGTATCTATTTGGAATTATTTTTCTATGGTACATTGTAGCGGGTTCAATTCTTGAAAAAATATATTCTAGATGTTTCGTCACACAGAAATCTAAAAAATAACTAAATTATTTATAGAATGCCACTGTGTAAAATCCCTAGATCATATATACTTACGTAGATAAATCAACGCCATAAGTTTAGCATTAAAAAATATGTCTCCAACATCACGACATGCCATTTTCAAACATTCTTTATTGCACTTATGAAACGTTCAATAGGTTTGTTTTTTCCCAAGATCTTACTTTGCGCCCAGGCGCATTAAAAGTAGCACATGTTTCCAAAATGAACACAATTTTATACGGTAGAAAGTACAAATTATACATTGTTATGGAAACCAACTTTTCATTGTCATCATATGTCATAATCTTATCATAATCACATCCCATAATCTTGCCATAATCCTTTGCCATAATCTTATTTCCATTGTGTAACGACGCGACGCGACGCTTGCTTTTGCGTTTTTATTTTAAAAATTGTATTAATTACTCTTTTATCGACCGCTTTTATACAGCCAAGGATGCAAGTATGTTCAGTGAGAAGTTAATTTTAAGTTTGTGCAATTATATTTCTATTTTTTTGCGTTGGACTTTCTAAATACTAAAAAATTACTAGAAAATGTTTGGTGTGTGGAACTTCTAATATAAAGGTCCCCGAATTATCTTTTCATAGGCAAGTAAAGTATTCAGTTGTTCTTTTATTTATATTAAACCACATGCATATTTTCTGGTTAGATTTCCTAAGAATATTGATATTCGTAGGGAGTGGCTAAATGTCTTCTTTATTTAATTTAATTTCTGTGACAGTAAACATTCAAGCTATTCTTCAAATATATGCATTTTACAAATTAAATTTTTAAAATTAATGTTCAAATTTGGCGCGTGGACGATAGGTCCTCAACAAGGATAGATAGAGTAGAAGCATCGCATGTGCAACAAAAAAAGAAGATAAATGGAAGTCGTTGATATGTTTGCGACAGTTTCCATAATGATTTACTTATCCACGTAAGTATATATGATCTAGGGTAAAATCCAAACAACAATCAGCTCAAATTGATATTACTTTACTCCTAAAGTGAGTGTCCGATGCAAACGTGTTCTTGTCTTGCATGTTCCTTGATAAAAACAACTAATTTTTCATGAAGTCAACTTGTTAAGAGTTCAAGTTCAGTGCCTAGCTGCTTCCTCGTTCAATTTCCGTCCGTTTGGAATTTTCTTTGTTGTTTTGACAGGTCGTTGGATAATGAACTTTTTGCATAGTAATCTAAACCAAGAAAGGACAAAGGATAACAACTAAAATAAGGAGAAAACTTTATAAAGCAGGTTGAAAAGAAAGTCTATTAAAATACAGTAAATAACTAGAGAAGACCTTGCTGTACAACTTGGTAAAAATAACTAAAAAAATGTAGTTGTTTTAGATTTTCTTTAAAGATTAGAGATTAAAGATACTGCCTACTGCTGGGTAATATACTTTTAATATAGGTACCTACTAATAAAAATAAAAATAAATTGTGTGGGGGCACTATGCGCGCATATTTGAAGTGAAACTTCTTATTAACAACTAGTAAATTGAAGGAATTGAAGGATATATATTTTTATATATGCTTTTTATGAACTTCAAAAAAATAAAGTTAATATAAAACCGTAAACTATTCTAGCTTTATAATAATGTTTTTTTAATTTTTATTAAAAAACGATAATTCTATCACCCGGCCGGATGGCCCTGGAAGCTGTAGCCATTAAATCAAAATTCTACTACATCTATAAATATCTCTGACTACTACTAACTGCTACTAACCAACAATTTGTTTTGTGCAGTCTGTTTTTTTTTTAAATGTTTTGTTCATTATTCATGCTGGGGATTTTAACCAGTAAACTCAAAGAATATGTATTTCTTCTCTATATCCAAATTGTCACTCTAAATCGCTGTCTTTTTTAGACAGATGTCACTTATCTTGTCATTATTCAATTCATTATTCGAATTCTCAGAATGTTGTTAAAAAAAGTCTCATCCTAAAATGAAATTATAATCAATCACAATTGTTTATCTCCATCATTGACCAGATTAATAATACAGAAATTACAGATCAATTACAAACAATTCATTATTTATAGTGATTTACAGCAATTTTATTAAATTATACGAATATTCTCGTTGATTATTGGTTTGAATTAAATATGACAGTGCCCTCCAATGAAAATGCGAGTTACTAACTTTAAATTCTAATTATGAGCTGGCAAATGCGCTAGGTACTTTACCTACACCATTATTCAAAAGTTACAAACCTATCGATGAAAAAGTGCATAAACATTTACTTCCTAACATCAAGGTTGGTACAATATCAATAGTTATAGTGATTTTCTTATTTCACAAGCTAATTGCTTATACACACTTATTTCACGAGATAGCGGGGTTTATCACGAGATAGATTATCACGAGATAGCAACTGTTTTACAAAGGGGTAGATCTATTCCGAGTGGGGTAGATGTGGCAACACTGCCGCTATCAATTTTCCTTCCGCTAGCTCGCGCGCCATGGCCGTCTCGCAGCCATCATTCAAGGCCACGAATTAGAGACGCGGCCTTGAATTTTTACATCACGTGACTAACGGCCTTGAATTTTTACTCCCAATGCACGTAAAGAAGTTTCACTTCAAAAAATAAACTTAACCAATTCACATTAAAGACTTTAAAATAAATTGTAACTATTTAGTGAAGATATTGCAGCACAGTTTAATAAAATAATGTGTATTGAATATTCACTAATTATCTAGAAATCTTTGATTGACAGTGTAAAAGCTTCTGGGCTCTCAATACTGCATTGTTATTTTTCTATTCCACATATAAACGAGCCAAACTAAAATGCCATGAAGCTTGAATAGGTCGATTTGACGGAAGCATGACAATGTACTTAATTCGTACAGGTAGGCATAATATGCATTTAGTCCAGCGGAACAATTAACAGTAAATCGAACAAATAAATTGGACCATGTAAAGTTCAAATCATGCTGTTTTTGAAATGCGTTTGTTAAAAGCTTCCGGTATACCTAGTTGAAGTTATAAAGCAAAAAATCTAATCCTATTTCATTTAGAGCTCTCAATCGCCCATACAGACAATTTAAGCAAGATATTTTATGTTCTTTCTATTTTAAAAGATCACTTTCACAATACAATGTTACATGTATGTAATATATTAATGTATCAAACTTCTTGTGACATGATTACACTGGATGCAGATGTGTGCAATTATTTAGTTGTCTTATCTTGTCAAGATGCAGTTATCAACTGTCTAAAAATACTTTGTAGCCACATCTCCAAGAGGTCTGTACCAAAGACATCTAAATGGGTAGACAGTCCATTCATAACACTCAATTTTTAAGAATCAAACATGGTTTGATACTTTTATGAGAGTTAAAAAGAGATGGGTAGGTACATAAATATGACAACACGGTTGAGTTTCGTCTATCTTTCTGTCATTTGACTCTGTCAGTGGCGTGACGGTGGCGTGATGGTTTTTATCAAAAATTAATGAATTTTATCAAAAATTGATTGGGATTGCCTCAGACCAATTTTCCATTATAACTAGTTTTGTCTGAGGTCTAACTGAGGGTAACTCTAATTTCACAATCGAAAGCGCCAACAAATAAGAAAATATACGTATTTTTGTAATAATCTACTTATAACTAAAAGTATTTAAATACGCTACTGTAAGCATGGCTAACGGTAAAAAAAAAGTAATAATACTTTTCTGAACTTTATCGGCCCCTTGTAGCCATTTTTCCAAAAGATCTTTTTTTTTCAATCGACACATAGGTGAAAAAAAAATTCTTTTAAAAAAAAGTTGCAGCTAGTAGCAGCCAATTTTTTCTTTGATATGTTCACAAAGGATTGTTTCAGATGGAGAAACATGGAGAATTTTTTATAAGTCAAACTAAACTTTTAACTTTTTATTTATGTTCTGTCTTAAACTCATTATTTTTAATTAATTAAAAAATAATGGATGCTGATTCTTATGTGCAATTGTTAGTGATTTGTTAAAAATACATACCATAAAGTGTAAAAATAACAGTAATCCGTTTTTATATCCCACTGAAATATATCACTTAATATTCACCAAAACTCTTCCGAAAATAAACTACAACTAAATAGGCACAAATACTTCACTAGAACGTCTAAATATAAATGCTGATAAGGAATAAAAATGAAAACTAAACAAAAATATATGCATATGGTCTTCTTCATTTGTATATATGCTTGCATTCCACCTACAAAAATAGTCCATATACAGTGAGTCTAAAATATGTATTTTGGCCAAAAAATTAGCTTCTAGAAACCATAGTGCGTCGTCAAAATACCATGAAAAGTTACATACTATGAAAAGCTACATTCCGAGATTCAGCCCTCTAGCTAACATAGGGCCCGAGTCGTTACCACTTTTCCTCTCGCGTCTCGTGTGTCACGGCCTACAATTTTTACTCCCATCGCGCCTAAAAAAGTTTCATTTCAAAATATCCCAACGAAACATTATATAAAAGCAGAATAACTACCTAATATGCTATTATTAATAAAGCTGTATAACCTAAGGGTATAACTAAAAAAAGGGACCATTATGAAATTACGTTTCTGGAAAATAAATATTCATTTAAAGTAGGTATTAATAAAGCAGCAGAATGACCTGACCAGGCTGTAGTGGCCCTTTTAAAGTTATTTTTCTTATTTTTTTTCTAGAAAGTAAGTAGTACATTCAGGAAATTAATTTAATAATTTATTAAGCAAGTAACGTTTACAGAAAATTGTTTTTATTCTTTGAACTGTTATTAAAGAAAAAAATTGTCCTAATTGTTGCCTTCTAAATTATTATTTAGTTTTATTACAGAATATAAAAAAATACTCCTTATTTTCTTAATTTTACGTAACGATAAAGCTACCCAAT